TAGGGAGTATATAGGGTATAGGGAGTATATGGGGTATAGGGGTTAGGTTAGTTAAGGTATCTTAAAAGCTTCATTTTTATATGCTGCTATTCAGCCTCATGTATCCGGATATATACCCTACTCTACCCGTGAGATCTTGGCCGGATACATACCCTACCCGTCGACATCACGGATACTACCCGGATATGTATCCGCCGAACACTGATTTATTATCTATACATTTATTTAAGGACGCTAAACAACCTAATGTTAAGTAGCTAGATTAAGTGAAAAGAGTGAGGGGGGAGATAAAGACTAATAATGTTATTCTTCTTATAATAGGTCGCAGCGTGCATCGTGGGTTAATGTTTCACCTGCGGCCGACCCAATTTGATCGCGAGGACCCCTTTTAGCAAAGAAGGGTTCACGGCAGCGTACTAGATTTAAGGGTTTACTCTCTCTCGCTTCACCCCTTAAAACGGGCTCGCAAACTTAACAGCCGCACCCCCCCCCCAACTTCTGCTCCTTCGCCGGCTCAATCGAAACAGGATTATAAAACACCTCCCCCGGATCAACCTCCGCCTTAATCTCCTGTAGCCTCGGCAAATTCACCCCCCAATACAACTCCTCCGCCTCCCCGCGCTCTAGCCTCGCATCCGCATAATTAACATACATCCCCCACGTCCCCCACTCTAGCGGCGCCGTCGTTGCATTCACCCACCCGTCGAGAAACTCGAACCCGTCTGCTGGGTACTTCCCGCTGATTACGCGGTCGTAGAACTGGATGATATACAGTTTGTCACGGTGCGCGTAGGACGTCACGCCGTCATTCCGCGCCCAAATCCCGGAGCTCGAGCCGCCTTGGAGGTCGAGCTGGAACCACCACATCCGGTTTATGGTGGGGGCGACGTCGAACCCGTAGTTCACGAAATTCTGGGCCGATGTGCCGTTCAGACCTTGTAGTTCGAGGCTCTTTGAGTAGAATTCGTCGTGCTGCCTAGTATCAGCCTCGTACTACTCCTACTCCACTGCACTGCACAGCTCCATATCAAGAGAAGAGAAGAGAGGAGAAACTTACAGCATCATAAGGATACAAAACATTCAACCCCATCCCCGTCTCCGAATAATGCTCCAACCCCCCAATCCACCCCGTCGTCCCCGCGTCGCCACCTCCCCCCCCGTCATCTCTAGCACCGGCGCGAGCGGATCCTCTAACCCCGCTCGATCACCGTAGTACACCCCCTCTAGCAAAATTGAATACGCCGACCCCGTGAGTCGCATGTTTAGCTCCTTCGGCATCACACCTCTCGTGTACGTCTCTATTGCCTCAAGCCCCGCCACAGCGGTCGTCTTATTCCACGGCAGCGTGGCAGAGAACCATGTCACAGTCTCTGGCGCCGCGAAGGTCCGGAAGCGGAGTTCGGAGGCGATACCGAACCCAGAGCCGGAGCCGAGCATCGCAAAGAATAGGTCAGGGTGCTCGGTCGCCGAGCAGTCCACCGCGGTCCCGTTAGCGAGGACCACGGTGAGACCGTCTACCCAGTCTAGTGCCAGGCCGTGCTCGCGCGAGGACATACCGTAGCCACCGTGGAGGGCGTGGCCTGCTATGCCGACACTTTTAGTTAGGTAGGTCAGCCCTGTACGTTCGTATGCGGAAGTAAAGCTTATTCACACAGCTCCGTCATCCAGAGTGGGGGATTGGGAAACTCACCCCAAACACGTCCCATGCGAAAACGCCCTCGCCCCCTTCCTAAAAATCTCAATCGCTATATCCCCTAATCTCGCCCCCGGCTGCTCGGGCGCGATCCCCGACTCCGGGTCCAGACTCACAGCAGTCATATGCTCCATCTCCACCACCATGTGGCCATCCTCCCCCCCCAGACCAAGCGCGGCGTACGAGTGCCCTCCGGCTTTGGGGGTTACCTTCACGCCGGCCGCGACGCCGCGGCGGACCGCGCCGAGGACGTGCGAGGTACTCCGCGGGATGACGATGGTTAGGGGCGTGTAGGGGAGGCGGGTGTTGAAGGAGGTGGAGAGGAGGGGCCAGTCGTCTGAGGAGGGGGTGATGAAGGGGACGATGGCGTCGGAGAGGCAGGATGTTAGGGAGGTGGAATTGGCGAGGCTTGTAGCTGTTTTGGTGGCGGCAGCGAGGAGGCCGAGGAGTAGGAGGGCGGTGGGCTTCATGGTGTGTGGGTGATGGTGGGGTGGTGGGGTGGTGGTGTCTTGGGGGTTTAGGATGCGTGGAGTTGCATTGGGGATATATATAGGCTTGTAGGTTTCTAGGTGTGTCACACATGTTGACAAGGGCCATTAGGTCGTGTTATAGAATTTCTAATTGTATTAGCTTTCTTCGTTGTATAGCGGTGATCCTTCCGCCGCTTTAGATGTGATAACTAACCCATGATGGCTTCTTCCAGAGTAACGGGGACCGCGCGTTCCTTGCCCAGCGAGTTGAGGCTAAACTATCCCATATGAACGAAATTATCCTATTATTAGAAATATGCACTGTTCACCAAAATAGTATTAGTATTTGTGCTTTTCGGATAGTATCCCCCGATGAGCAGTATTCGGGCCATAATTGAGGTATTCAGCGAGTATTTGTTAAGGACTCGAATAGTATTCGAGTCCTTGGCAAGCTACGCCAAGGATGCTAAGTTACGAGGAGTTTAGCCGCCCGCCCTCATAGATAGATCCGAGAAATAGATCCACAGATAATATATGATCCAGCCCAACCACGAATATGATCCTCCGCGCGAGCGGGCCGGCCCAACCACAAATAATAGTAATACTGTAGTAAAGTAGTAATTAAGAATCTATATACTATTACCAACAGTGTCTGCTCTTGCTCGCTTCCTTCGTGGCCTCTAAACTTGTGGCCTCTCAACTAAAGCTATTTCCGTACGAGTAGCTAGACCTGATAAATTACTACAGTTGTGGTCATCATTATGGCAGTGTACGCTACACCCCTTTACTTCCTTGTAACACCGGGGCCAGTTACGTAGAGTTGACAAAAATAAGCGAAAATAGCAAAAAATAGCAAAAAGAATTGGACACTGTGGGAATTGAACCCACGACCTTCCCCAGTTGATATTATGTGTTGAATCACATGCTATGCGAAGGGGAAATCATACCCCTAGACCAAGCGCCCGTTTTGAATTGGAAGGTACGAGTTATCCAGGATTATGAAAGTGCGACTGGTGCAGGACCTAATAGGAAAGTGCGATGGCCATGTAACGGGAATAAACAAGGAAGGTATGACGATGTAAATAAAGAATGGGATATAATTGTACGATAAGACGGCATGTGTTATAAAAGAGATCTTTACGATTAAATTGAAGTAGCTGGTGACTGACTATGGCGAGATTTTTCGTGATGTTCAATTCCATACTACCATGTCATATTCTGCCAGAACTGCCCACACCGCCTAGCGTCAATACATCTCCATCACTGTCCTACGGTCCTGGCGGGTATCAGCTCTTTTCTCCATACAAGGCAACTACTCGCCACAGCGCCATCTTACGAATTAATTACGCCCTCGGAACTACTCGAAAAGCTATGCCACAGCTTCCGTAAAGCAGCGATGGTACAAAAGACACCAAGGAACCTCGTACTGACAGATACCTTGAGGCGCCATGGACGGCCACGCCGACGCGACTGAGCAGGTCGCAATCGCCAAGCTCGACCCCACCCTTCAAAACCTCCAGTCCTGCTACTTCAAAGCAGTAGTAACGCTCATATGGCCCTACAGCTCCTCGAATAAGACGCTTTCCGTGCTTCTGGCCGAACCGGACTTTCGTTTGCGCCAAAGTAGAGGCCAAGTCAAGGTCAGGTTCGCGGGATCGTGCGCGAAGCATGTTTTTGATGCGGGGATAGGGAGCGGAGATGAGTTGGTCGTCAGCTTGAATGGGGCTGAGTGGATACCTGAGAGTGCGAGTGCTGCGCAATTGCCTGGTAGGGGCATCGAGTGGGAGCTGAAGTTTGCGGAGCGGCTGGTGCTTCAGGTAAGATGGATGCTGCCACCAAACATAACCCCATACTAATCGCGGTGACTTCTCAGATTCGAAAGTGCGAAAGCGGAAATATTGCCCTGCTTAACCTCGACAATCCCCCAGAAGAGCCCGAACCAGACCGAGTCGCTGAAATCGAGACGCGACTTGAAAACCCGTCGCCCCCAGGAAGCCCAATTCCAACAGCACGTCATGATCAGCTACGTGCGGAGGAGACTGGCGAGTGGTCATCACCGGCATTCATAAAGCGCGCTCGGCTATCCTATGGGTCGTTCATTGGGAAGGATTTTGAGGCATTCATAGAAGATGATGGCTCTATCCCAGGAAAGGGCAGAAAACGGTCGAGGTTTGGCCGAAAGTCAGGGGATTGGAGATATATCAGCCGTTCTCCAAGTCCAGAAGAGGATGTCGAGGTCGAAGAGCCAGCTGTGCAGGAACCGGTCCCAGAAAAGGTGAAGCCTACAATGACGGACGAAGGCTGTCAGACAGACGGCTTAGAATACAGCGAAGAGATGCAGGAGTTTTTTAGACAATCTCAAGCTGCGGGCAGGGAGGCAAGACCGCGGGTTCCTGCAGTTCTGCAAGACACACGGATGGAATTTGCAGAGGACCAAGGCAGACCACCGATCCCACCGTTTGACGCCTTCCCGGCTGGGCAGGCACAGCCAGCTTCACAATCAATGGAGCCAAATGGACTCACCGCACGATGGCCGGAGTCAATATTCCGGGATATGGGATTCTCGAATGGATCTGTGCCCGACATGAATCTGAGGCCTAGTCCACCCTTTGAACAACCTAGGTCTCACAGCCCACAGGCTCCACCTACAGCACCCATGTTTGGAAACTATCAAGAAGATGAAAGGAATGGACTCTTTCAAGCGCCATATCCGCCGGATCAGCCAATACTACTACACCATGGCCTTCCCCTCGAGACGGATGACCTTTATAACGAACACCCGAACGAGGCCCTTGAAGAAGCTAGAGATTCTACCGCCTCGCAATTTGCCCAAGCCGCCCAGTCTTTCTATCCAGAACTGCCAGATGTTTCCATGGAAACACCTGCCCAACCGGCATGGGGGTCTTTGACTCACGTCCCTGGGGAAACTGCTCCCAGCACCTTCGAGGTACCCAATGCCGCGAGCAGAGAGGCATCTGCACCGCGATATAGCCAACCCAGCACACCGAAATACCGTTTAGATGAACTCGGTCAGGTAGTCGTGGCCAACGAAGGCGAAGAAGATGAAGAAGAAAGCGAAGAAGAAAGTGACGAAGGTGACGAAGAATTGGACCACCGTCAAACCGGCTCTGATGAAGAAATAGAACGAGATGAGTCTGGTGAGGAAATCGAAATAAGGCCTAGGCAAGACCCCGAGCAGTATTATCGCCAGCAACAATTTCCCGGCGAGCAAGGAGGTGTGGCCGCGGAGCAAAGATACAGTAATGAGGAAGGCGAAAGCGAGCTCGACGAGGAAGCCCATCCATCCGAAGAACAAGAGTTCTCAGACGATGACGAGGGTAGCGAGATGGATAGTGCAGAAGAAGCTCTATATGCGGAGGAAGGCGAAGGATTCGAAGAAGGTGATGACTTTGATGAAGATGGCGAAGGGCGCTACGAAGACGAAGAGATGAGCGAAGAGGATTTAGGACCTGTTCATCAGCAGCATCAGCAACCCGCAGCGAAGTCTGAGCCAGTATTTATAGATCTTCTATCATCGGATGATGAGGAGGAACAGCCGAAGCCTTCGCCCAAGCCGCCGCTTGTTCATAAAGATTCATCTTTTGCGGATGTAGAGGACAATGTACAAGATAATGTAATGGAAGACGAGGAATCCGGCGAAGATGCAGAAGCAGACTTCGAGGGAGAGTCGGAGGAAGAAGAAATGGCCATCGGACATCCAGGCGATGAAGAAAGCGAGGAATCTGAGGAGTCTGAAGGCTCTGAGGGCCCAGAGTTAGAAGGAGAAGAACCAAGCGCTACAGAAGTATGGCAGCCTGGTACTCCACAGGCCACAGAAATGCAGAACGAGATAGAGATGCAAGATGTGCCCGCTGTCACTCTCCCTCCTAAACCTGACAACGCGAACTTGTCAATGGTGGAGGAGGTGGGCGGCTATGAAGACGAAGATGACACCATGGAAGGAGGTCTTGTCGAACAGCGCTTCATGGATGGTGCAAACGATGTACCTACAGAGTCGAGGGCTACGAAAGAGAAAACGCCTACTTCTCCCCCGGCTGAAGAAATCCAAGTCGAGGCAGCCGAAGAAGAAGTCACCGAAGACATGACTGCACAGCCACAGCCAGTCGAGATGGGACTTGACCAGGAAGCTCAAGAACCTGAAGTCGCTAACGTTCGAGCAAGTCTGGATGAACAGCTTCAGGCTAAGCAACTTGAGGATGAGCAACTTGAGGATGAGAACCTCCAGGAGGAACAACTCGAGGAGGAACAGCTTGAGGAGGGACTTGAACAAAAAGACGCGTCTCCAGCGGATGTCAGAGAGGGTGCTTCACTTGCCGAAGTAACTTACCCTTCTTTGCCTCGGGACGAAAGCAGTGCTATCGAAACGCAAAAGACGTTGCCTGACGAAACCCAAGAAGAAGAGGAAGAAGATGTTGACGACGATATTGAACTAATAAACGCGCAATTGATGACACCGGATGCTACTCAAGTATCTTCTACGATTCCACAAGATACATCATTCACGACCTCGACCGAACAGCAACCGCAAAACGACGCCACAACTGACAAAGTCGTGGCGGATGAAGTTGTACACGACAGCGTCGAAGCTACAGAACCGATAAAGGAGAAGCTCGTCGAAGTCACGAAACGAGTCACCAGATCAGCGAAAGCGACAACAGAAACTCTCCAGCCTCCAGCAACGCCAACGGCGGATAAGAAGATGAGCCTTAGGTCAGCCACTTCTCCAGTAAGTACACGAACAGATCGATCCCCGTCGTTGGTGACGGGCGCACCGAGCACACGGAAGGACCGCGATGCTCATCCTGCATCGAAGGCTCTCAGCCCCTCAGAAAAGTCGCAGCCATCACCACAGACTCCAAAACACAACCTTCGATCAAAACCATCAACATCACCCACCGGCACGCGCATCACCCGATCTCAAGATCGCGCCGAGGCCCCAGCAACGCCTAAAGTCGCCGCCGCCAGCCTACCAACCGCCACCAAAGACGTCATACCTCCCTCCAGACAGCTGCCCACCACCCCTCAAAAACCCCCCACGCAGCCTCTTTCTGAAACCGCCCTCCGCGCCAGCCTCACAAAAGCCCTCCGAACCAACCTCAGCGACTTCACACCCCTCAAAGTACTTCGCCACAACCTAGGCAAACGCCTCGACGTCCTCGCCATCGCCACCACCGCCCCTCCTGAAGCCCAGCGCGCGAAACACGGCCCGCGACACTACCACCTCCGCTTCAACGTCACGGACCCCTCCATCGCACCCACCGGCGTTGTAGAGATCCAAGTCTTCCGGCCCTACAAGGAGGCTCTCCCCGCGTCGAGGCCGGCGACGGCGTCCGTGCTACGCAATTTCTCCGTCAAGGCGGAGAAGGATAAAGGGTTTGCGCTTCGCAGTGAGGATAGTAGCAGCTGGGCTGTGTTTAAGCGGGAGCGCGTGACGGAGT